TTTTGTCATCAGGCAAAAAGCTTCTTGAAAAGCTTCTTTTATTGATTTCAGTAATTTCCTGTGGGAAGAGAACACTTTCTTCCTTATCAAATAAACATTTGAGTTTTCATCCTGCTGATGAAAAACCCTTCTAATACAATGACCTCAGCTGCACAAAACCACAGTTCTTCAATACCTTCGTGAATACAGAAAAGATCTTAAACATACCTGTATGTCTGTCCTTGAGTGCGTTTTTGCACATTTCTATTCTTGCTGAATGAAAGGGTACATATCTGTCTTGGGGTGAGGCCACTAACACAACATTTTTAAAGTACTGAAGACCTGTGGCAAATATATTAAATACATTAATCACAATGAAGCACTGCGATGAAAAATACACACAGTGTCAGCATGACTACTTCATGTTCAAAGGCTTTTGAAAACCTAAGTTCAAAACGCATGATAATTATTAAAACATGCAACACAAGCTCAGAAATATTCCTAACAGCCTAAACACATTTCTACCGTTTCTGAGACGTATTCATTACCTATCAACACTCGCACAGGTAAACTGTATGCCAATAAAAAAACTGTGAAAAAAAGACTAATTAAAACCTTAATCTTGCAAATATTTATACCTCTAATCAAGAAAAAAACCCTAAAAAATAACAAGTTAGCACAATTCTCAAACAAAACAGAGAGAAGAAGGAGAAAAGGAGTCAACTTCACTGCTATAACATCATACTGTTACATCACTGTTGAGGGATCCTTGTGATCCATCCAATTCCTACATTCAGCAGTCCCTTGATAAATGCACACCGCTGGTACATTGAATGGAAACCTGGAATCCTCTCTCTTCCCTGGAGGTAATGGGGCCACTGATAAGTTGCGGAAACAGGCTCCTGATGTTTGCTGTGTCTGTGGTGTCTTGAGCCCTCCATCCCCACATTTAATAGAGAAGTAAGAAAATGGATACCAATGATCTGGTTTACTAGTCCAGAGAGTATCCTGGGCACAGAAGAGCTGTGGGTTTTTCTTTCATCCTTCCCTCCCACCTTGTGTGGAAGACTGAACTTTCCATCGTGGACATTCAATTCCAATAAAAAAATGTCCTTTTCAGGCCTGGAGATGCCTCTCTTTATTGGCAGCATCCAGAACCAAGGCCTGACTGGATGGGGCTTTGAGCTGCCGTATCTAGTGGAAGGAGTCCCTGCTCATGGCAGGGGGGTTGGAATGAGATGATCTCTAAGGTCCTTTCCAACCCAAACCATCCTATGTTTCTGTGATTCCATGACTGTGATTTCTAGATTTTCACAGAAAAGCTATCCGTCACCATCACAAAGAAAGGTCCTTCTGCCTGACTTTCCAAAACCTGGCTGAAGCTGTTTTTCTTCTTGTGTAATCAAATCAAATTTGAAACTTTATTCTGAAGTAAAAAGTAGGAGAAGCAACAGTACGTGCTACCATATCTAAAATCCTATGTGAAGAGGTTCAATAGGGAAGAATATTTTGTTGGGTTTTGTTTGATTTTTTTTTTTTAAACAAGCATGAGAAATAGTTTTCAAAGAGATTGAAAAGTAGCAGGGATTTCTACTTTAATAAGAAGGTCAGAAACTGCTGGAGGTTTAAAGTGTCATCTGGGAATGTAGGCACAACACTGTTTCTGGCATTCCTTCCTCTGTAGGTTCTCCCAGCTACTTCTGAGAGCAGGGTGCTCAGGTAGGGGCATCTCTCTATTGACTCAGTATGCCAGCTCATATGTTCACATATTGACCTATCTGCTTCTTCAGATTTTTTGCCTAAGCACGTACCTGGATGATTCTGACTTTTCAGGCAACCATCTCCGCATTTAAATTTCTGCTTTCTGTATTTTCAGGGACAACACCTTAATTTATATTGTGTTATGTCTCCAGTCTACCAAACTAACAAACAATAAATCACTTTGACTCACAACACATGATTAGGAATTCTTTTTCTTGGGAAGTTACATTTTAAGCTTCCTGTGTAGACCCAATTCATTTTAACTCAACAGTAGTAACTCAGACATCGACTGTACTCCATGGAAATGAGAGCCAGGGAATCAAAGGGAAAATCCAAATAATGCCAATATACATCACCTTCATGACCTATACGTCACTGATTATGATATGTAGTGCATTCATAAAATCAAGAAACAAGTCTATGTTGGTCATACTAAGAATTAAGATGTCATATTCATATTGATATTTGTTTCCTATTAGCAGTGTAACAAACAGAAAAAAAATTAAACATCAAGTAGAGACCTTGTAACTACATACTTGGCACCAGTTTGCTCACAGGCAATATTTAAAATAACTCTTAAAAGAAAACATTTGCTTTATAAAAGGATCACACTTGTTTTGTTCTCTTAAGAAAAGCCTAATTTATTTTATTTATTCATGACAGACCAAAGATGGGGTAAAAAGATGCTTTATTCAGACAACATTTTTCCAGTGTGAGGCCATACATCTCTCTTTAGTACAAAATTGTCACAACAGACATGAATAAAATTTGCTCTTCATCTCCCAGAGTCATATTTCCCACTGACAAGAGATGTTAAACTTACAAAAAATAATAAGAAATGAAAAATAGTTTTCATCTAGTAGCATAAATTAAGCAGTGGTGGCCTGTCAAGAATGATGTTTCTTGCTTGCAGAATATAAACTTAGGTGCATGTTTAATGCAGCACAAAGGTCTTGTTTGATACTAACAGTTTAGCAAATATATTTTCTGATAACCAGCACAAAAAAAAATGCACAGATAAAATAGATATTAGATTTTAGAAAGAGTTAAACTTCCTGAAAACAAGAGTGTTCAAAGAAAGATTTTTAACAAAATGGAGATTTACTTTACTCCTTGGAGAAAATGCTAATCCAGCACAACTCTTGGTATTTCCACAGGCACATCAAGCCCTACTCACCCGTTTTTTGGCTGAGCTGATAGAGGAAACACTTGCGCAGATCCGCGTTGTCCCTGAAGGTCAGTTGTAAAAGCGACCCTGACTTTTTCAACTTCTGCATGAGCCACAGACCTGGAATGAAAATTGGTGCATATTTTCATCTTGTTTGCTACTTAACAAGCAAGGCAATCAGTGGCATGTGCCTACAGTAAGGATAGCACTGTAATTCAGAAGTCTTTTCTACTCTTTCATTCCTAATCAACAGGGAGAAAAGTCTAAGGGTCTCACAGGATAGAGGTAAAAGTTTTGAACTAAAAGAGGATAGATTTAAACTAGATATAAGGAATAAATCCTTTACCAAGAGGGATGTAGACACTAGATCAGGTTATCCAGAGAGGTGGGAGATGTCATCCCTGGAAACATTCCAGGTCATGTTGGACTGGGCTCTGATGAAACTAATTGTTTTGAAGATGTCCCTGCTCATTGTTACAGGGTTGGAACTAGATAATCTTTAAGGTCCCTTCCAACCCAAATTATACTATGATTCTATGATTATCCATGTCATGGTAGCAGAAACACTGAGGAAGAATGAACTTTCAATTGTGGACATTCGATTTCGATAAAAAAGTGTCTTTTTCAGCCCTAGAGATGCCTCTCTCATCCAGAGAAGTGGAAGACTAAGTGGAAGACTAAGTAGAAGCAGAGTCATCTCTCACTGCTGCACACCCTTGGGTTTTCCAGGGAGCACTGTGATGGACCTTGTAGTAGATACTGAAAGCCACTCTCGTTGCAATCTTTTTTTGTGGGTTTGAAGCCTTCAAAAAATATTTTTCACAACTTCAGTGCACAAGTCATGCTACGATTTATTGCTGACTCCCTCTGTTGCCCTCTCACACATTCTGCCATGGCCCACAGGCAGTCACAGCTATCCCACCAGCTCTTACCTGTACTAACCAAAGTGCTGTTGTTGTAAAGGGTTCCAAGGTGAGGGCCAGAGAGGGACAGGAAGGTGTGCAACTTGTTGAGGTAATAGCGAAACCTGGGCCGAGTTAGTACAGATCGAATGATGACGTTACCAAGGGAATGTCCGATAAAACTGTTGGGAAAAAAAGAATTACACTAAGACAAAATCCATCTGTATTTTCTTTATATTAAACGTAAACAAATTGCTCTTGTGGGGGACTGTTTCACTCAGTTATCAGTTAGTCTTTTAGCTATCATTTCATGGTTTTTTTCAGCCTACAAGATGCTCTTTCATCTATAACAATGTAAAAATTAGTCTCACTGATTCAATGGTTTTAACACAGAGCACTTTAGGAAAAGCTAATTTCGCTGGGTGTTGCTCATGTAACTCAAAAAGTTACAGACTATTAACTGCCATAAGGCTTACCTTATTCGGGATATGGAGAGGTTGTACAACTGGATATGCTGAATAATTTCATCCAATAATCGGTCAGTCATTGTATCGAAATCAGCAAAAGTGTCAGTCTGGTGAAAAATGAAATGAGTTAGTGAGTTAAAATACACTGCTCTAATTGAAGATAGATGTTGTTTTTCAAAGTAAAATGCAAGGAGAAATGTAATAAACTGTGTAAATTTTCTTTATACATTCTCAAGGGTGAAGAGGGGGGATTTTTCTCAATCTCCAGGTCCTCTAAGAAATTGAAGTTCTTCTTTGAAAGAGATTTTTGAGTGGCTCCACAACCGTAAGTATGATGCTAAAGCAGCCTGACTTGATATTGTGATGACTGTTAATGCTCAGCTGTTCTAGATATCAGACTCTGCACATGGAAGAATAGCTTTCGGCATTTGGGATTCAACAGATTACAGCGATAAAACAGTTTACAGCATTATCTGCTGACATGAGAGTTATGCTGATGATCAGGATGTCATCATGAAATTATTTGGCCATCTTAATCAAATGCTGTGCATTTCTTATTCAACAGCCACCAGAAGGAGAATGAGTTTAGAGAAGCGAACAATTTGTTGCTTGCAACAGTACTGCCAGTTGTGAGACAATAAAACAAATAATATATTGTCCAGTCTATACAATTGCAGGCAGATCTTACTCAGAACTGTGTCATTTGGCAATTCAACAGGGCTCTAAATCAAATTCATAACTAATGAGATGCCACAAAAACAATCATCAAATGTTGGAACAGCTATTCAGTAAAACATATCAGTAATTAATGCTTTTGAAACATATCAGTAATTAATGCTTTTGTGACACAACTCATCTTGCTAATTGCAGCTCTTGCAAAAGAAAACATGAGCATATTCACTTTTCAACAGAGACTTAAAATAAATGTTCTCATAAACTACAAACAGTCCACTAACCTTCTGCCTGTTTGTTTTGTTTGCATTGATAATTAATGATTTCCTTCTAGGCTCATTATCCCAAACCTTTCAGGTTGTTTAAAAGTGGAAGAACATCAGCCTGAATGTCAATCATAAACAAAGCACATCAAGCTTCATATTTCACCTGGCTATATCTCCATCCTTTCCTATCATTTCAGCCTGACTGAGCTTTTCAAATGCATCACAAATGAAGGTCTAAAATAAGTGATTTGCATTTTCCTCTGTAAGGAAAAACAACTAAATGACTGATTTCTTGGGCCATTTTCAGTGTGGTTCTCAGAGAAAGTTAAAAAACAGCAATGGAATGCTTTGCAGCACCAAAATAGTCGTCAAACCATCCAGGTTCAATTTCCAGTGCTGTGAGAATTTCCCCACCTTCACAGACCATAAGACCTCTAAATAGTTCCCCTATGGGCTCTGGATAATTTTAAATATAGATGCTGTATGATTTTTCGTTCTCTGAAAACATTCTCTTCTCTGAGAAGAGGCTTTGATGGAAGTATGGAGCGGTCTCATTTCACCTTGCTTACATTCAGTGTACAGGTCTGCTGCTGACAGGGATGTGAGCTGGAAGGTGGTGAGTTCACAGACTGACACCAACCAGCCACTTCAAAATATAAAAGCTGTTGAACAAAGAAGGTTGGAAAGTTTTGACTCAACTTTCTCAGTGGCTTATAAATCAGAATAATGTTCCTGACTGGGCACTGGAAATCCTTATCTTGTGCATAAAGTTAGACCTTTGTGTCATAAATATGTGTTCATTGCAGAGCAAAGCACTGGATTCATTTTGGTTTCTCTGCCTAGACCAGCAATCAATTTTTCTGGAACACATTTCTTTATCATTCAAGGAAATAAATCTCACAAACATTGCAACAGGAGAAACAATGGCTGATGCAGCAAAGGGAGTTGACAACACCTGCTGGATATTCCACATCCTCCAGAGAATTTACCATCACTAAACTTGCTGCTTTCCATCTGTGCGGTGTTGCAGAGGCACCAGGCTGCCAAGTTTTCAAACTGACAGGATAAATCCACTTTCTTCCTCTAAGGTCTAGCCCTATTACTGCTAATGTCACTGCCTTTCACTTTAGTGCCAGGAATATTTTCCAGTAGGTTTGAACACCCTATCAAATTAGACAGTAATAGGACCAGACCTTTGCACTAAATGCTACGTACAATTCTCTGAATTCACCAGTGCTTTTGGTTCATTCAGCTGCTGAAAAGGCTTTTGTTAAAGGCCCTGTTTTGGCAATCTAAAGGAAGACAGAAATTAGTTCTGTACTACCTGATTTCTTTCAGACATTAGGAAGTCCAGTTTTCCACCGGGAAGTCCCAGTTCTATAAAAGTCTTTACCAGGCGCAGATCTGCACTGTTACCTGGAAATAAAAGGCATTTTATAAGATGCAATCCAACGGAAAAATAACAGGTATAGAGCCAATTTAACACAACAACCTTGACACCAGGGAGCTCTTGCTAAGTGCTGATAAGAAGGTTACCACACCATGCATTGAAACAGGGGGAGAGCAAGAACACACACAGCCTGTCCCAGGTGGGCTGGACCTTGCTTGTTGCTGTGGGGAAAAAGGGGCAAAGGTCAGACCCAGAATAACTCTGTCTTCTATTTGCTGAACAGCAGAGGTAGGACAAAAAAGACAACAAGCTGAGGTCTGTCCTTCCATCTTTACAGATGGTGTGGCACATGCTGGGCTGCAGAGCTGTACCTGCAGATGGAGTGTATTCACAACTAGAGATGGTGCTGAAATACTCTCAGGCTCCTAATATTTAGAGAGAGACCCCATTCCATACTAGGAAATTCCAAAGCCTCCCAAAATATTTTGCTGGGAAAGCAGGCACAGCCACCTCACAAGGAGGACATTCCTGCCACTGAGATATTTAATGGCAAACAGTCCTTGCTCAAGCCAGTAAGTGTTTGTTTTCCATTTTTTTTTTTTTTTGAGATTTCACTCTCTACCCCTCCTTCTCTGTAGTTTCAAGGTTAAAAATCTATGCTTTTCCCGTTAATACCAAGAATTTGACAAATGAAGCTTCACATTTTACACAACTGTTTTCTGCTCAGAAAGCATGCATGTAGAAAAATTCCAAGATCTGCTTCCTCTGCAGTGAATAATGATTTTTATTCTCCCAGTTTCTAACACCAGCCACTCTCTTCCCTATAACAGTGTTTTGGGAGGTTAAATATTTTTTCCTCCTGGTGACATACTGCAAAACAACCAAGTATTTGTGGAAAGACAGAAGAAGTTACTGTAATGAACTTCTGTACACAGGAGGATTGATATGCTTTGGTATAAAATTCTATTTAAACATAACCAAACAAAGGTTGCAGCCCCCCATTTCTTAGCCCAAATATTTCATATTCCCTTAGGTCTTTTATTGCGATGAACCATATAGCATAGTAAGGAATAAATACTTAGCTAAGATAAATACTTAGACTTTCTATTCTTTCGTACTTGCTGAACATCTGTCTTTTTTTTTTAATTTACACCAAAATGACTTACAAACAGTAATTCCTCCTGGCCTTACCATCCAATCCATGGACACACACAACCAGGTGAATTCCATCTTCTAAATTTTCTTCCTCTTCCTCTGGTGGAAAATATGGGATATCAGAAGCTAGTACAGATAAGTCACTGTACAGAAATCCTTCAATCTTCATTTCTTTTTTAAATTTTTCTTTGGCCTGATAAAAACTGGAGAATACATTAATTAATCACAGTAGAACTGGGTGTTCAACAACAAACCTTCAAACTAGAAATGAGAAGGCTTGTACTTGCAAGGAGTTATGTTTGCAGCTTTCTAGCAGAGACCTGGATACCCTTCTTTGTCTGTTAGGACTGAATGAAATCAGGATGCAGGGAAGAAAGTTTGTTTCTGAGTAACTTGGTTAAATACAGGGAATAGTTAAAGTGCATTAGCACCTTACACCTGCCAGAGGAATGAAAGAGTAGTGTAAAAATAATTTTCTGGTAGCTTGTCACAATGAGACTAAGATACAGAATTAACAATTTTTTCATCCTAACAGTGTCATTGGCCTTATAGGTAATGAAATAAAAAATGTGTCATTTCACTAGCATCAGATGCATTTATAGTCAGGTAGAAGGTGTTCTTCCCCATCCTCAGACTAGAATTAAAAGATGCACCTCATATGATAGATATTGTTAGGTTGGTTTGGTTTGGATCTTTGGTTTCTTTTCCAAACATTTTGTAGGATTTAGAGGAAGAGCAGCTCAGTGCTCAAAAAATTAAACTAGCCCCTTTCTTACTAAAGACCTAAAATGTGACACCTGAATTCTCCCTGAAGCATTCTGCTGGCTGAAGATGACAAACTCTTCAGTGGGCTTTTGACTTAGCAAAACTTATCCAGAGCTTTTAGGAATTAATAGACACAACGTAAATGTAGAATTAGGGAGAGAACCAGGATGGATCAAATTAGTAGATATAAAGCTTCAAAGCTTTGGGGCAGCTTAAGGCCACTTATAGAATCATTAAGGCTGAAAAAGACCTCTAAGATCAATGAGTCCAATAGTGAGCATTTACTTACATCAAGCCAACTAAATTTTAAGGGACACGAGAATGAAAAAACTAGCTTTTGGGTCTTGGATGTGGAGGCCTTTGATTCATGTGCATGAATACATGCTTAAGTGTTCTGTTTCACAAATAAGAAACAAATTTTGTGCTTAAATTAGGCAGGACTTACATCATGGTGTATAAAACAAACCTGAAAATGCTTTCAAAAGAATAAAAAAAAAAACCTTTGCCTTTCAAAAGAAAGCACATGCAGACAGCTCCAACATTTTGGAACATTGAATGGGTTGAGAAATGCCAGTGTTACTGTTGCACTCAGCACAGCAGAGACATCAAAATATAACTGAAGTGTACGTGTGGTAGTGTGCCAATCTGTTTAGTCTTTGAAAATCTTGGTCTCTGTGTGTTTTCATCCTTCCTGTCTATTTAGATAACTCATTCTATACAAACTATTTGTGTATTTGGATTATTTATACTGAAATTCCTCAGGCAACTGTCTCAAGTGCAAGGCTACTGTGTGCCTAGTGTTTTAGGGTCCTGAATTTTGCCAGGGTCTCTTGGCATTACAGTTACAATAATGAAGTAATTAGACATTCTTACTTCAGCATCCTTTCGTTCATCTCTTCATCCACCTCATCGGAATTAGAAGAGACAACTCCAAAGGAGCCCAGGGGCTGGCGTGTGATGGGGATCACAGCCTGCTTTGCAGAGAGGCCGACCATGGCAGGGGTCTCTTTGAGCACGGAAGAGAAGGGAAGACACGTGGCTGTGCAAGAGACTGACAGGTTAACCACATCAGCAGCCTTTCTGCTTTCCAGGGCTACTCCCTCCGTCGCTGCCAAAGGAAACCCGGTGCCGTTCGCTACAAGTTTATGCTCTTGGCTGTTGGGTTCCTGAGGATGTTCAGCCCGGTAGGACCCTGCTGCAGGGTCTGCTGGGGCAGGTGAGTCATTGAGCTCTATTTCTTGTAACACCTGCATTTCTGCACACACTGCTGGGCTCTCAGCAGCAAGAGAGCTGCCACACTCTCTTTGCAGTGAGCCAAATTCAGTGGAGGTCTCTGACGGAGCTGTAACGGGATAGCACAAATCTGGTACCACCTTTACACTTTGAGAGAAACTCTTCTCTCCTGAAATTCTGCTATTGGAGAAGCCCTGTTGTATTTTTAAACTGTCCAGCTTAAGTTTATCCTTTGGATCCTCAATGCATGTATCAAGCTTATCTATATTTTGTTCCAAGTAATTACAAGCCCTTGGTGTTTTTAAGCTGCACTCACCATTGCTCTCCAGTGACTGGCTCTCAGAGACATTTTCTTGGAGCTGCTTTGGACAAAGGGGTGGCCTTGCATTTTCCAAATTACAAGTCTCTGGAAAACCTTTCTCCTCCTCCCCTTTTAACTCAGTGTTACTACTACTGTGTTGGAGGGAGGGATTGGGATGTCGTCTTGGCTCTATTTGTCCACTTTCAGTGGTGATTTGACACTCAGAAGAGTCCATGATTAATTTCCCGTCGTCACCCTCTGTTTCCACGCAGCTTTTTGAGTTTTGGTCTCCCAAGGTTGCCTCAATGCGTTTGGATATATCCACCTCCTCCGTGGGCTCTTCTGGGCTGCTGATCTGAGGAGCTGAGACAGATTTTGTCAGTTTGGTGAGTTCAACTTCCCGCTCGTCTTCTTCAAAAGGCAAAGAGCTGATGGATGTGAGTGATGCTTGGATCCCACTGGGCAAGCTAGTGTTGCTTTCCGTGTGGCCACCCTCCAGAGAGTTTCGGTGGATGGCATGTCTCCGGACCAAGTGGTGCAGGATCTCTCGATCACTGGGCAGCTCCAGCGCCCGACTCCGAGCGTCGGACCACGCCACTGAGCTTGGTTCACTTTCAATGCCTGAATCAGATATTATAGAGGAGGATCTTTTAATGGCCCCTGACGTAAGGGTAAACTCTTCGCTCTCCTCACCCCGCTGCTCCTTTGTGAGCGATTTCACTTCAAAGCAGTGTGAGGGCAAAGGTTTCAAAACAGGCAGATGAGCCTTGGTGTCGGGATCTTCTGGTTTTTCAAGACTGGTCAACTCATTCAGTGCAAGCTCAGACGAAGTGAAATTATTCTCAGGATGACCAGATTCATCTATTTTATGTATTTCAGTCCTGTCTTCTGAGCTATCAGTTCCACACGCTCCACACTCATATTGACCACTGACAATTAACACAGGCTCACTTTTGTGAGAGTCCTTATTGCTAGATTTTGTGTCTCCACAAGTTACATCCGCCCCAAGATTATTATCTTTTAATAATAGAACTTCCTTGGGTGTTTCAAAGTCTCCTGGTATGTGTTCTGTATTGCCTGGCTCTGAGTCAGAGACAGTTTCCCTTCTTGAAACAAAAATATTTTCAGGTTTCCTTTGGCCTTCTTTGTTAGCTGTACATACCTGAGATGTGGAGTGCTGGTTTAAACCCTCAGCAGCACCTTCAGTACTGCTGTATAGGCATGAGGGATTCCTGTTTATCCTGTCATGTATTAGTGGAGTACCTTTCCCAAAGTCTCCTTTTATTACTGCAGTGGCGTCATTTGATGCACAGTCTTCATTTTCATCTATTACATCCATTTGAGTATTTGCAGGAACCTCGAAATCTGAGAAGACTTCCAAATTCTGATCTGAAAGAAAAAAAGAAAAATAGTAGTAGCATCTGTAAGAACACAACAAATCACCTCAAAGTGATGTGGGACTTTTAAAAGTGATTTTAAGTCTTAAAAAATTATGCTGTATATATTTATATTATGTAAATTATACATACATAACAAGGTAGATTACAAATTCATATGCCAGAGTGCATGTAACTAGAATTATACTCACTGAACAGTTATTTTTAGGCCAAAGAAAACAGTATCAGTAAAATACACTTTCCTCAGTACAACTGCACATAAACTCTTAATTTTTAAAGCACAGATAAGTGAAACAAAGCTGATACTTCTTTTTATTCCTGCTCTCATTTGACATTGTTCACAGTATAGCTCTTTTGAAGCAGTTTAATTCTCATTTTAATAGTTTAAATATCTATAAAGAGCATTATCAAAATTTAGGTAGTAGAATAACTGTGGAAGGGTGGACATTTTGTACTACAGCCTATGTTCACTAGACTATGGTGACCTATATTATTAATCCATATTGCTCCCTTGTTAATGGTTAAAAGAAAAAGGTATTGAAGTCTGAGGTTTTACTAAAAAATTCGCATAGTTAAATAATTTCTTCATTAAAAATTTTGATTTGGGCAATCAAGGGCAAAATATTTTTTGAAAGGCAATGCTGCCTTTCAGGAAAGTGTTGAGCTTTACAGTCGAACTGTGTTTTTTTGTTCTGAGATTTCTTACCACTAGATGTCACAGTGGGGATAACAGTCATAGCGTTTTGCCTTTAAATTTGTACTATAACAAAAATCTAAACAATGTAGTTTTCTTTCTAGATTTTGCCAGTTTTAACAAAACAGATGAAAAATAAGAAGGAAATACTCTAGTTTTCTATTATGGAAACCAGAAGAATTCAGTTGAATTACTTAAGGGGCCACACTCTCTTCCAAGCTCAGCACGAGGGATGTGAAATGGTTTGTCATGGGCTGGGACAGCAAAACTCCCTCAGTTCAAGCTCTCAGGAAGCTGCACCTTGTAGTGTTTCACTCACCTTTGCAAGGCATATCCATGTACCTGTCTTCAAAGATAACTGGGAGAGTGTTCCAGTCCCCGTCGATGTCGAGGCATTCTGCCGGCAGCGGGGGCATGCTGGTGAAATACTCCGAGTTACGAATTTCTGTAGAAATCTGTGCGTGGCTTTGGATCCTGGCAGCAAAGCACAAAACAAATTGAGCGTTTGAGTAGTTACTCTGCCATCTCTCCATCGCTCCTGCGAGCCCTGATATGCAGGCAGAGGAGAGAGTCAATGTCCTTAAAGGGAGAGGGAAGATGCAGGATGGGAGATACCCAGCACTCCCGGGACAATTGGATCTCTCAGTTAGAAATACCTACAGTTTGCACAATCCCTTATTTAAGACCTCAGTATTTTTGAAACTATTCCAGCTGCCACTGCCACAGGCTCCTGTTAGCTGCCATAACGCATTGCTGTCCTCGAGGGGTCACAGTTGCTGGCTGGGACAGGATCACCCAGCTGGCTTCCTGGTCAGGAAACAAGGTCTGTCACTCTGGCTGAAGTCAGGGTTTCAAAACCCAGATGCAGGAAGCAATAATTGAAAATTTGGTTGAACATTACAGGGAGGAACAAAGCCAAGAACATGCATGGCAGGTCCTCTGTCTCACTTGTACCAGATGTCAGAGCACTGTGGTATCTCACACACATATACATCTGGAAGAGCTCAGATACATCAATTCAGCCACTATCTGTTGGCAGAACTAGAGTTATAGAATCATAGAATGATTTGGGTTGGAAAGGACCTTAAAGATCATCCAGTTCCAAATGCCTTGACATGGGCAGGGACACCTTCTACTAGATCAGGTTGCTCAGCCTGGCCTTAAACAAGTCCAGACATAGGGTATCCACAGATTCTCTGAACAACTTTTTCCAGTGCCTCACCACCTTCACACTAAAGAATTTCCTCCTAATAGCTAATGTAAACTTACTCTCTTTCAGTTTGAAGCCTCTCCCCCTTGCCCTATTACTACATGCCCTTGTAAAAAGTCCCTCTTCAGCTTTCTTGTAGGTCCCTGTCTGTTTCTATCACTTGGGCCACATAAAATGCTACCAGGTTCTCATCAGTGAATGTGACATTAAACTGGAACAGGAAAGTGTGTTCAGCTTTAATAAATACAATAAATTTTAGTCCTAATGAGCTTTCTTATTTAAACATCTGTCTCAAAAAAAAAAAAATTGAAAATGCATCAAATACAAAGAGGAAGGCAACAAGCCTTTCACAGATGGTCAGCTGAAAGTAAATCTGCACAGATTCCATAGGACAGTGCAGTGGCAATACTTCAGATTAGCATTGGCGAAAGGCAGGTTATCAAGTAGTAGTTACTGTAAAAATGCACTTCACACATTATGAACCAAAACTCAAACAGCAGGTTTGGAATTCATGCCAGAATGGAAGTTTCCTATGTCCAGACACAAATAATTTATTCAGAGCAGGATATCAGCTTCAACTTCAGACCATAATTATTGCTATCTGTCATTTGTTCTTACTTGTAGACAGGTTATTTTTTAGTCAGAGATAAACAAGTCACTGGTTTCTAAAACATGACTCAGACAGGAGCCTCCAAAAGCCAAATGATCATTTTTGCTGGCAGTAACACCTGAGTGTTTGGAGTTAACTCTTAGCACCCTAATAAATTTATCACTGACATGTTAATTAGTAGAATCATAGATTGGTTTGGGTTTGAAGGGACCTTCAAGATCATCTCATTCCAACCCCCTGCCACCGGCAGGAACACCAGACTAGGTTGATCAGAGCCCCATCTAGCCTGACCTTGAACACTTCCAGGGATGAGGCATCCAAAACTTCTCTGGGTAACCTGTTCCACTGCCTCAACACTCTCATGGGGAAGAATTTCTTCCTAATATCTAATCTGAGATTACTGTCCTTCATCTTAAAGCCATTACCCCCTGCCTGATTATTACACGACCTTGTGAAAAAGACAAATAATTGATATCAACAGGAGTGAATAAAAGCATTTTTGTCTGTAAATCTAGGGAGGATATATCACCTGATAGAGGCCTCCACCCTAGCCAATACCCAGCATATTGGAAATGGTGTGTCCTCTTCTGTCTAACCAGTCAAATGCTACCAGACACGTAGGTGCATGGCCTCACGCAAACTCACAACAGTATAGAAGGCGAAACCCAGCTCTAATGTGGTAAGAAGGAAGAAAGAACTGGGGGAAAAAACTGTTACTACTCGAGGTGGTTGTACAGCACCTGGCACACTGAGCACTGATCTCAGCTGGAGACTCTGTGAACCCAACATGTACTCACTACTGCCACCCATAACCTTAATAACAATCTGACATTTAAGACCGTTTTTCCAGCTATATCATCTAGCAAATTAAAAAAGAAAACATGACTCTGCCACAAGGCCTGTATAGATTGAATTTACCATACAGACCAATTTTTAATATTTTAATGATTTTTTTTTTTTTACTCAGTCTCCTTGATAATCATTAAGAAAAACATTATGTTTATATGTAGGAAATAGGCTAGTCCTGTGGCTGCCTGGAGAAATAAAAGCACTTCATGCAATTAGGCTTCCTCCTGTGCAGGGTCATGTTTGTTTGAATGGGGCCATGAGTGTCTGTGCCTTCACCCCAGGATCTTGACATGGGGGTTTTCCTTGTGCACAGCTCACTAAAATCCTGACGTGGGAGAACCAAGTGAACACAGCTGGGCACCTGCAGCCCTGGTGCTGTTCTAATTTGGCAGAACAAGGTAGCCTTGTACAACTCACCCACTAATGAAGTCACGTCCCTTTCCATCAACACCGAATAAGCCTTAATGTTCCCAGTGACAGCTCTGAGAAAGCAGTTTTCTTCTTTGCACTGGGTCAAATGTCTCACTTAAGCCTCATAATTGTGGCAGGAGCTGATGTCACAGCCTTTAAGCCCCTTCTGAAAGATGAGTTTCCACACTGGCAGTGCTGTGGTCCACCCATGGTAACAGGCTGTTTCAGCAGACAAACAGTCTGGACATTCCTCATTACTCAGAAATTCAAATCTAAGCATCTTTCTTTGATCTCTGCCCTCAGGAGTCAGGTCCTGAGTATTATCTATATGCTCCACTTTGGACTATTGGTTAAAACTAAAGGCAAAATTTGCCCTCGTGCATTTTTAAAACTGGCTCCACATGCTGCCCTACTTGGTTGCAAGCAAGAAGTGTCCAGCAGAGGGAAATACTTACATTGCCAGTGTTTTAGGGCATATTTTTATGAATGCAGCCCAGTTCCACATCCTTGTCTGTTTTATGTAATTGGTTCTTGGTCAATTCATTATCAGCCCTGAAATCATATCACATCCATGTTTTCTCCTGCTAATATAGTGGTATTCCCCATTCCTGCCCTCCACTGCTGCATCTACTGAACATCCACACCTTTGCATTGGCTGTTTAATACTCCTGTTGACATTTAAATATCCTTTCTGCTATAGAAAGTAGGGCTGGACTAAACATCAAAAGAAATCCATGACTATCTACCCCAGAAATGTATAATAAGGTCCGTAAAGAGAGAATCTGTAAATGTTAAGATTTGTTTCTTCCCAGTAGTTTTTTCCCATTAAACTGTCCCTGCTGGATCTGGTGGATTTGGTTCAGGAATTTAATTGAAGAAAGGAATATATGTATATATGAAGCTTGAAATTAATTCTTTCTGGGGACTGATCAGAGTCACTTACTTTTGAAACTCATTTCAAGTGTTTTACAATATGGAGCTAAAATAGAGCCACTGACTTCTCTCAAATCAAACTCCTCCATATCCAGCAGAAAAATACCTCAATCTTCACTGCAAAACATTTTAAAGTAAATTTTCAGTAATTCCAGTGACAGGGGAGGGTTAGTGGGTTACTTACAGGCCTTCCTGGAATGTGAGCACAGCAGGTTTCTGGTGCTCGGTGTAGAAGAAGGCTTCGGAGAATCTCCTCACCTGAGAGGGAGAAACACGTGAGTTAAACCTAAGTACTATGAGTCTAATAACAGAGCAATGACTGTCAGGACCAGATTCCTCAGTGTGGTAGCACCATTCTGTTGACAGAAAAAACCAAAGAGTTCAATTTTGCTTCAATTTCCCAGTCCAGCACAAAGCAGCTGATGCTGTTGCATATTTTGCTGTGAGGTAAGAAGTGCCCCTTGAAAATAAATCAAAATTTGGTTATCTGCATCTTCTGACTAATTTTCTAAAAGCGGTGAAATTTACCATTTCCCTCTGTATTCCTTAAAGCAGGGAAGATTTCTTCCTTTCCCACTATGAAAATTGTACAGCATTAGTGGAGCAACAACTAAATTAGAACAATTGATTGTCTCCTCTATGGGAATATCCACAGTGACTCACAGTGACTATCAAACCATCAAGACAGCAAAGGAAGTCGTACATGTCAGTCCAGAGGAGAATAAGCCCTATCATGGTAGAAACACACCTGCTTATGTCATGATACTTACAGAATGAGAGCTCTTCAAACCCCTTCATGGGCATTAGATCTGTTCAGTGTTGGATAATCAATTACAAAAGAGCCATGGATCTGAAGTGGCTGGCAGAGCACAGAGTGTGAAATAAGCTATAAAAAACTCAGTGCTGTCATCTGCCCTGGAATAAGCTTTGAGTTTAAATGAATCAAGCATAATATGCAATCAAATGTACTGAGCTGTTAAACTGCAGCCCATACATTCCTAATAGTAATTGTAAAAGTGACCTCTGTTACAGTGACAGAAAACTGCAGAGAAAAGCATATGTCACAGCATCTCAGCCTCTCCCTAAACCCCAGCTGTGCTTTAAAAAATGTTTTTTTCTGAAAAAAAGGACTAGAATCACTTCAAAAACCCTCTATCTTAATAGTAGGAATTTTCATATGGGGCTCTCCAAGTGTTTTCCAGTGCTGGAAAAGTATAATTACACACTGTTTATATGGGAAAGAACAATTTATATGAAGCATACAAGGATATATAATTTGACAAAGGGCAAGCAGGCAGGAGGCATCAGTCGAGGCTGGAAGAAACCACAGGCTGGGATCCACCTTACTGGAACTGGGAGCATACAGAGTTGGGTCCCTTGGCTGAAAAACACCCAGGTCCTCCCAGAATCAAGGGAGACCTAGTCAGACTAACCAGGGGAACCAGCTCAACCATGCTCTTGGGGAGAGAAACTGGAGGGTTGTTCTGGTCACTCTGGAGAGTCAGCAGACCTCCACTGACTTTGACAGGAGCAAAAATGTAAGCTGAGATGTCAATACCTTCATTATACACTCCTAAAGCTAAGCAAGGTGAATCCCGCCCTTTTCCCTACTGTCCCTGCTCTAATGATTAGATCAGACCGAGTTCAGCTCAGGGGATGTGCTGAACTGATGTCTGGTCAATAACCAAGAACATCCTAATGAAAGACAAAGCACTTGTTGAACTCATCAGATAAGTAGATCTGACAACATTAACTCAAATCACAAGTGGTTTTGTGCTTTCTTTATTACCAAGTACAAGAAGCAGTTTCAGCAATAGTAGTATTTTGTTTGTGTGCACCTCACTTGGAAAAAGGCAAATAGCTATATATATCTGTATGTGACAAAGACAAGAGAACAAATTTATATTCCTCATGGTAGTTTTGTGAAAGTAGTTGAGATAAAATCATATTTTTGGTTATTTGTCACTTTAACGTTTGTGGCTCTTAAAACAAACTCTTATGATTTATGGATATCTGACAAGTACAGGTGATATCTACCTCTTCCCACCCACCTCCTTGTCTAATTCTGGTGTTTGAAGTGCACTCATTTTAAGTAGGATCCCAAGTTGCACAAAAACAACAAGTGCTCATTCCAGAAATTGAAATCTGTAATTTCAGATCCTGGGCTTCACTTCTTTGCCTCTTGTCCCGCTCACCCCATTTCCCATAAATACTCATATAGGCAGAATTGTATTGGAAATATACATCTAGATAAAGCATTAATGCCTGTCAGGGCATGACCATTACTGAACTTGCTTATCATTACCCTTAGCATGTGATGTTCCTGAGTCAGATAAGCTGTGACTTCTGGATGGAGCGTTGCCACCTCTAGGAACTGGGTCCACAGGGCCAGGAGGTGAGAACAAAGCCAGGCAAGGTCCTTGCTTATCTGTTCTGCTATCTTTTCTGGATTGCTCAGCAGCTGGAGGAGAGAAAGGAAATTCCAACATCAAGACAGTGCTATGAAAAAGAATCAATTCTATGTTGGATTAAGTCCTTTTAGGAACAACAGCAACAACAAAAATTCCTCATGATTTAGAAGTATTATTATTAAAGCTACCATTTTCGGTTATTTTGCTCCAAATAAAGCTGGTGAGACTTTTACTCTTTAAAAGCCACATATTTTAGCGCAGAGGTTCTCAGCTACCCAGTTAGAGAGCAAGAAGTGGGAACAGACTCAATCTTTGCACACACTTTACTGCAGATGTAGTAAACAGGAAAAAAAAAAATCAAAGAATGTGGGTTCCAAATTATCCACCAGATGGTGCTGAATGCTCTGAAATAATAAACCATGACCCTCCTCTGTTAGCAAAAGGAGCCCTCTCAGCCATGTCACATTAGGATGCCAGGTGAGCAACTCGGGGGGAAATGAACAACAAACCAAACCCAAAACACTGTGTCCTCAACACATGATGGAAACAGACACCCCAGAGTCTGCTGTTGCTTCTCTTCCACACTAACACATGTTGGATCCCTGTGTGTCCTCCAGGTCTGGGCTGCAACTCTGTGCTTAAGCTCTGCAGAGAGAAAGCTCATGCCAGCAGCAAAGTCTCTGCACATCAGGCTTCCTGGTTTCACAATTTCATAGAATCACAGAGTCATAGAATGAGTTTGGTTAAAGATCATCTCGTTCCAACTGTCCTGCCGAGTGCAGGGACACATTCCACTAGATCAGGCTGCTCAGGGCCCCAACAAACCTGGCCTTGAACACTTCCAGGGATGAGGCATCCACAGCTTTTCTGGGCAACCTGTGCCAGTGTCTCACCACTCACACAGTAAAGAATTTCTACCTAATGTCTAATCTAAACCTGCCCTCTGTCAGTTTAATGCCATATCCCCTTGTCCTATCATTACACACCGCTGTAAAAAGATCCTCTCCAGCTCTTTTGTAACCTCCTTTAGGTACTGGAAGGTGCTAAAGGAGTCTCCCTGGAGTTTTCTCTCCTCCAGGCCGAACACCCTCAACTCTCTCAAAGTGTGTTTATAATTGTTAACGTAAGGAGAGACAGAAATTGCATTTTACCTCCATGTTTTGGCACAGAGTGCAGATCTGAGCTTTCATCTATTCCCATGGTCCCTATGTGTTTCCATGAAACCATTAATAATACCAGAAATACTTCAGAAGTAATACCAAATAGTACAATCAGCTCTTCACCAGGTCTTTCTTTTAGCTAGAAATGCAATCCAGCTGAAAGTCTGTTTATTTTTCATGTTTTATTATAAAGATAGTTTCCAGATTTATGACACTGAAAACTAAACTACCATAAAAAGTTAATTGTTTGCATGTGAGAAAAGCAGAGAAAATTTGTCTGTGGGTAACACAGATATTGTCACTGTGTTTACATTGCCTGGATGCTATTCTGTTTTAAGAACTAGTCCAAAATGGCACAAGATCCAGTATCCATTCTGGTACTAGAAAAATTATGGGGATACTTGGAAACAAAAGATCTTTCCCAAACGTTTCCATTTGCATAGTCAGGGAAGTACTTTATTTATGGTACCCAATTTTATATGCTCTGATTCAGTTAATTGTTAATTTTTAATTTTTTAAGCCAGTTTCTTACATCATAAAGTGGAAGCTCAGTCTTCGAGGAAGATACATTATTAATGCAAGTCATTTTAGGAGTAGTTGTGTGATGGCTATTTTTCAAGCTTATTAGTTCTTAAACTTCTGAAGCTATCAGAGAGGAAGGAAGGAAAGAAGGAAGATGGAAAGAAGAAAGGAGGGAAAAGACAATGCCTACTTCTACTGCACTGCTACACACAGGTCAAATCCCAGGAATTGTTTCTCAGAGTAAAATCCAGCAATTAAAAGATTACCAGCTGTGTCTGACTCCATCCCCACACCTGCTGCCAGGCTGTGCCCTGTGCTGCAGCTTTCAAAAGCCACACTGGTGGACACTCCGGTTTTAACAATGCTGTCACACAAAACAAATTAACAGGGCTTTTTTGAGGAGTTATTTTTCCTTGTTTGTTTATAAATCAATCAATTACACAATTGAAAAACTATTTCCCTTCCACTTTCTCCTGCATTGAGTATCTGCTGTGCTCTCAGATTGAATACAAAGTCATGGCAGGTTTAAACTCACTTTTTTTCTTTCTTTGTTTTTTTTTTTTTTTTTTTTTTTTTTTTTTTTTTTTTTTTTTTTTTTTTTTCTTTTTATTTGTATTTAATTTTAAAAATCGACCTTGCTCTGGAAACACAGTGGTAATGGGAGACTAACCCCACAGGCCCCTCTCTGTATGGGTTCTAATAGCTTTCTCTTCCTTTATAAATTACTGCTTTTCTTATGTTCTGCTGGGAAAAAAAAAAAAATGGTTTCAGTTCACATATTCCTAGAGGCAAAATACAGGGAGAGCACTGCAATACTAATCTGTACAGCACAGAGGTCCATGCACTGACACTTCAGAGATGCACCTACATCCCACCAATATTGTGCAAGGTCTCAACCTCTGTATCAAGTCCCTGCATATTCACTGTCTTTATAATCAAATAGATACATAGAAAAACATCATCCTATGACTCTAAGGCAAAACATTTTCCAGCAGGAAATTTTCCATACAGGAAAATCCATAGAACCAGCTGTTCTGGCTGTTTTGTTCCCTTATCTGTTGCCACACTGTCCTCATCAAATCTCAAGCACCAGTCAAGGCAGACTGGCTTTATTGATAATACCATGCAAAACACATCATTAAGATTTTAGGAAGAAGAATTGGACAGGAAGTGGAAAATACAGAGAAATAAATGATGCCATTTTCTGATGTATTCCAAGCCACACTGGACTTTCATAGACTCAGAAAATCAGTCCCAAGAAGACTCTAAATTTGTTATCTGTCCTGTACCATTACAGCTTCTAAACCTAGTACAGTTGAGCCCAATAACTTCTGCATATCTAAATCAATTTTATATGAAATGAGATTTCCTGAAAAGTATCCAAGTTAGGACTTAAAACTAATAAATTTTTAATTTCAGTTTTTTTAGCCATGGTTAACAAACATTACTCCACAATTTGTGACATGATTTTAAATGGATTTCCTGTTAGGTTTGGACTCATCTTCCTCCTTTGTTATCAAATTCAGTTCCCTGGGGAAGGGGTGGAGTTATCAAAACTGGAATTGTTAAAAAAAATGAGTAGATGTGGCACTCTGTGATATGGTTTACTGGGTATGGTGATATTTGGTCAGAGGTTGGACTCGATCTTGGAGGTCTTTTCCAACCTTAAAGGTTCTATGATTCTGTGACGAATAAAATTTATTAAGTATCTGATTCTAAAACACTTTTTCCACTAATCAGCTGGTGCTTTCATTCCTCCCTGGCACCCCTGACGACTTGTCTATGTCTCACTTGAAATAAACTTGGCAGAAGTAAGTTCAAGAGAGTAGTTCAGTCACTTCTGTGACAAAATAACTTTTTTCCTCCCATGAGTTTCCCTGTACTTTTAGGTATTTTTATTTGAAAAGATATGGTTGTACAACCTGCCAAAGCATCTTTTCTCCTGTCAGCAGAAAAGCTGTAATTGCAACCTACCCCAAATAATTTTTTTCTTCATGCTGATACTCAGGGTAGGCTCACCGAAGGATGTTAGAGTAATCCAGCTGGTGACTTGTTAAAAGTGACAGGGAACACCTTGTATGTGACTAATCAAAATGATGTGAAATAGCTGGTGGAAGAGAAACAAACTTTCTAAGGACACCATATTTCCTTTTTTCTCGCTCTGATATGTGACTGGTCTGTCTCAGTGCACTTGAAAAATGGACCTGAAAATCCTACGGGCAGATTCTGCTGGAGAAAATACCTGCAGCTCCATACAAAGCTGGGACAACGTCTCTTCCACAGATAGCTCCTCTGGGGAAAAAAAGAAACAAAGAAAAAGATCAGTTTTGAGAACAGTAGACGTGAAATGTTAATGTTCTGGTGTTTATTCATGTGAGAAATCAGTCAATTGTCACTTGCCTGACAGGCAAGTTCCTGTTTGGGTGTGGGCACTCCACAACACACCTTGTACTGGTGCAGGTGCAACTTCTGCTCATGAAACCTGGACCACCAAAGCAGTAGAAGCTGTTGCTATGAGGACAAAGACGACAGAATTTGGCTTTTCATTGCCTACTCTCTCTTTTGCTAGACATTTTCTCATTAGCCTTTGGTATTTATGACCAACTGCAGAACTGAATGCAAAGTCTGAGCAAACGATGTGCAAGAAGTGGTGGTTACAGAGGACTGTGCGGCGATACCAGATGCCTGACTAGTAAAAGATTGGGAATCTCTGCACTGCCTTGTGAGGTTTGAAGCACCCTATTACTCCTTCAGCAAGGAACAGTGTTTTGATGCAGTCCTGAGAGAATCCAGCACAGGGACACTCCACTTTAAATGCACCATGGACTATGAGGCAAAGGAGGACATCAATCAACTCTGTAACTTTGGCAGCTTGATTTTGCAATGCGGAACTTTCTAATAGTACCCGTAAAAACAAAAAAGCAGGAACAAGGCAGAAGAACCAACAAGCCAATTCCCTCCCCAATCCCCAAATGACTCTTCTCAAATAGTAATAATAAATGGGAAAGGACAGGCCAAGGTCAGAGCGCCTTGAAAAGACCTAATCTTAGCTGGTAAAATTTGGGAAATAATCATTACCATTTTTAATGTCTAAACTAAGTTGTTTGTTTTGGGTTTTTGTTTTTTGGGTTTTTTTTAATACACTACTCAGGGAGTTAGGAAAAAAATAATTAAGGAAGTATGCAGAGATTTATAGTCTTGGATTTATCTTAAATTTCTCTAGAAACCTATGATGAGATTAATCTGACCAACACAGATGTTATAGTTGACTGAGTCATTTACATTTTCCCCCTAGTCAGTGGATAAATATAGCAATTACAAGATGCATTTCATGCCATCCCAAAGCAGAAAGCATTACCTGTGTTAGATAACATATTTTTAAATGGGTCTGTTTCACCTCAGTAGTTGTAAGGAGACAGATATAAAAATTTGATTTACATCCATCCCACTGCGTGAATCTTACACCCCATGATTTTAATGAGTTTTCCAACAGGTATCAGAAGATCAGTGTTAAAATCAAATCTTCAGTAGGTTTTCAGACTGTGAATAAAATTATACAAATAGAATTCTGCTCAAGAGGCTAAAAAGGGTATTTGAATTTAGCAAATTCAAGAAGTATTTTTGCAAATGCAGTGCCTGCCTCTTTACCAGTAGTCATTTGAAATCTGAATAAATTTTATTTAGAAAGCCAGTCTATGCTCTGGGGCAGTCCTGGAGTAGTGGTCAACCAACCAAACATAACTCTGACACATATAACTCTGTCTGAGTGAGCCACAAATCTTTTATTATATGTGCCTGATAATTAAGATGCATTAAGCAGGAGTTTTGTTGCATGTTGTATTCTGATAGCTCATAAATTCCAAATTAAAATGCTGTAATTTCTTTTTTTCCTCTCACAGCTGGATTGAGTAACACAGTATATGCTTTAACCACCCTATGACTTTTAGGCTACCTTGAAGGGAAATATATGTTGGGAAACAAGACATGGAATGGAAAATAGGAGCTATCAAGTCCGTAACTGTGTCTGATGGTTCTTGTATACAAGCAGTATACTGGAAAATGGATTTTACTCCCTTTCAAAACCTGCTGTCCAATGCAACTGACCCTTCTAATGTAATTATCTCTGCAATATAACAAACTGATAACTCAAAATCTGCACACAGAAATACAAAGGCTTGAAAATGCAGATGTGAAATTATGGGCCACAGTTCCTGCATTTAAAGAAACAGGTGGGAGAGCAGGAATTAGTCAGGAATGTCTCTCATTTTCATAGGAGCTCATGCTGTCATTCCAAAGATGACTAAACACAAATTACAGAGCTCCAGCCAGCACTTTCACGCTGGACCTAACAGGCCTGACCAGCCAAAAAGAGCTTCTGCCAAAACCAGAAAATCTATTAAACAATTGAATTAGAAAGACAATCAGAATGATTTTGAAGAGCAAGATGTAATTGGCAGGGGAGAAATACTTTGTGAATTATAAAGAAAAGAATATGATTCAAAACCACTCATATCACCTTTCAGATTTTTCTTTTCAATTTAAAAAAAAAATGTTCACTCAGGAAAAAAATACTTTAAACTCTTCCCTAGATTTCATATCCATTCAAAACTGGAATTTCCACTTTTCAAAATGCAACTGAGGCAAAAAGTCACTGAAAGGCAAGTATTTTGAGAAATTTATCAAAATATTTTGTCCCTCTAGACATCAGGCTGCATCCTATAAAAGGATCCACATAAGCTGAGGAGTCGGTCATCTATGACAGTGTGCCAAAATAAACACTTATCAGAAAACACAGATGAAAATCCGTTTAATTCTCCAAACAACCCAAGAATTTTGTTACTGAAATGTGTGTTGAAAATGCAGCACCGTGAAATATTCCGTGATTTTAAATGTCTGTTCACTTACCCAACTTCAGCTGTGGTGAATCAGGAATCTCAGTCATTATGAGGGTGTAGTACGTGTGAAGTCCTCTTTGAGCATTCAAGAGCAGAAGACAGAGGTCCTTATGCCATTTGTATGCATGCTGCATGCAGTTTTCAGATGGGACATAAAAGCTGCCCTGCGTAGCAAAAGTACCAAGAAAATAAAATACAGAGATTAAAAATCATGGTCTCCATTTGTGCTAGAGGTTTCAGTCATGGACAGCCTTTCATTTCTTTTTACAAGGGGGTATAGTGATGGGACAAGAGGTAATGGTTTTAAATTAATAGACATTGGATATTAGGAAGAAATTATTTACTATGAGGGTGTTGAGGGACTGGTTGCCCGGAGGAGTTGTGGCTGCCTCATCCCTGAAGTGTTCAAGGCCAGGGTGGATGGAGCTTGAAGCAACCTCGTCTAATGGAAGGTGTCCCTGCCCGTGTCAGGGGGGCTGGAACTAGGTAGCTTTTAAGGTCCCTTCCAACCAATTCTGATTCTATGGTTCTGTGGTTATGATCAAGCAAATGGCCCCAAACAGAGATTTTAACCAAACCAACCTCACAGCCACCTTACTAGCTAGATGTGAAATCCAACAGTACCTCATTCTACACGTTCATCTTGCCTAAACCATAACAAAACTATTAGGTCCCAGTAATGTTGTCACATGAAAAGACCCTCTGAGCAAACAGTCCAACAGAGAAATCTATCCCTGTCCATCACACATGTCCCACTGTGGAGCCAATGCCTCTCCTCACAACACCCCCTCCCTGGCGGAGGAGAAGGGGTGGAAAGGACCATAAAGTTGGCTGCATTCACTTTCCTTTTCCATCATATTCTCTTATCCCCTCCTGCAAAGGTTATAGTTTGATGGTATCATGGTATGCTTTGTTATGTCTATTAGTGAAAAAAATGCAGATGGCATTGCCATCCCGTCATCAAATACCAGCCCCTCCATACTACAGGATCAGTGTCTGTATCAGTATATCTCTTGTGAGAGGATGTAACTGGACAGATAACAGTTTTTGTTACTACAAATATTTCCCAAACAACGCATTTATAATTAGAACGTAATCTGAGTTTGCAATAGGGCACTATAAATCAGAGGTTTTAACTCCTATAAAAAAATTCTTGTATAAATTACCCATATTTGAAATTTTCAGTGCTTAGATTTAAAGTAAAGCGATTTATTAATCCATGGGTTTGTTAAACATGGACAATTTGAAACTGAGACCACTGCTTATCACTTGATGGGGTGAGAATACAGTTCCTACATGCCAGCTAGGTACTGAGTGCCTTTTTGCACAGTGCAAATATCTGTGCATCTCTAGGAGTTAAGCAGCTTCGCCAACCATAAACTGATGCATCTCCTGTGATTTTCTCCCTTTGACTTCCCTAAAACCTGTATTTCACACCTCTTAGCTTGAGCTGGGAGGTTTCCCTGAGCTTTCTCACTTAAATCTTCAGGAAGTTAACTAGCATTCTGGGGTAGACACAAAGCGAACTGCTCATCAAGACCCACAGAGAGATGGCTAATGATAACTGATGGAATTGGTTGTTTTTCAAAGGTTTCAAAACGTCCAGCCTCAGCCTGAATATTTTTTACTCTCACCAGAGGGTACAGAAAAAGGGAGCATAAATAAATGCTGCTCAAAACAATGGAAAATTGGAAGTAGATCAAGGTACAATGTCATGAAAATATGCCCTCTTTTACAATCCATTGCTGATTTTTTTTAGGTTTAAGTTAATCTGGCATTTAAATGCCACACTGATGAGCAGAAGGAAGAATGTGAGCTAATTTCAGAGTTTGTATCAATGCTATAACATGGTGCTGTGCATGACTACATTTTAATAGGTTTATTTTCAGCCTTTCTTGGCATAGACTATAGTTTCAAACTAAAAATAAAAAGTAATGGGAAAATGCACCTGCAGGTGGGCTCAAAATTATCTGAACTAAAGATGTTTAAAATCTTACTCAATTAGTTCAGCTCTGAGTTCTTCAGTGTTTGTCTGCTTCTCTCATGGTACTTTATCAAATTTATCCTCAGCTGAATTGATTAAAATTCTTAGAGAACAGATACTTCAAATTATTGAAGCACAGGGAGAGTATTATAACGATTTACTTAGTGGCAAAACATAGAAAGAAACACTATTTAAAAAAAAAAAAAAAAGGACAAAAACGAAGCAATAAAACCAGTTCATTGGGCATTCCATATTAGAAGCATAACTTGGTCATTATCGTAGAAATTTAGAGATTCTTAAGTGGGAAGGGACCTTTGGAGATCACCCAGTCTACTTGTCTACTTAAAACAGGTCTAATAGGATCAAGTTGCTTAGTGTTGTGTCCTGCTGAGTCTTGAACATCTCTGAAAACATGGATTCCGCTCCCTCTTTGGCAACATGACACTGTCCCAGGGTTTTACCACCTTTTTGTCTTGTACGAATTCAGAATTTCCCAGGTTTCACCTTGTGTGTGTGTGGCCTCTCATCCCATTGCCATTCACCATCATGAAGATGTGGCTTCATCTTCTCTTTGTTGATTAATTAGGTAGGTGCAAATGGCAGTAACTCCCCCCTCCCGAGTCTTCTCTTCTCTGGACTTAACAAGACCAAGTTTCTTGGCCTGTCCTTGTACCTTGTAGGCTCCTATCCCTGAACACGTTGGTGCCTTTTGCAGGACTGGCTCCAATAAATCCATACATCTCTTGTACTGAGGAACTCAGGACTTCAGACACTTCTCTCCATTTCTGAGGAAAGGGAAAGGATTGTCTCCCTCAAACTGCTGGAACTGCTTGCAGGGGTGTTTTTTTTTGGAAGCACTGTTGCCTGTATCAGAGAAGTGTATCTACTTTCGTTGAGAATGACTTCAAACTTTACTTTCTCTTTTGTAGTCTCATGAATGGGAATTTACCTGCTTTGTGTTCTCTTTCAAACATTTCTACTGATTAACCCTACAAATCAGGATTTCAGGAAATAAATTAGATTATTGTGAATTCAAAAACGTCAGATACTTCTGAAAATCCTCTAAGTTCCAAAACACTTAGTTTCAGAGATACTGCCATGGAACAGCAACAGGTATCTGGAGGCATTGCCCTACTAATCTGTCTCCTGAAGATTTTAAATGCCAACCTAAATTTGTTTACTTACTCTAAAGCAAACTCTAGGATTGATGTCACTGTAGGGACTTTTTATTCTTGAATAGAAAGAATACATATATATATGGGGGATTAGGTTGGTTTTTTACCATCAGAGACAAGTCACCTCCTGATCAAACTTTTCAGAGCTCCAGAATCCTCTGGGATCAAGAGAAAGAGCAGAGTCTTTGCACTAATTTGGCCATACTCTATACAATACAATCTGGATCCTCATTTTGCAAAAGGAGATGCCTTAGGATGGAAAAAGTACAGCAAGAAAATGGGGCAATCCTCTAAAGTAATATTGGTTTTCCACATAAGTAGGATCATATTGAGTCCACACAGGCTGTTCTTTCTGCTCTCTCCTTAGAGGAATGCCATCTTCTAATATTAAGCACGGACTGAATAGAGACTATATCAGTGTATTTATCACAGTAAAAGGTTCCAGTTGTATACCTTCCACTTCAAGAGAAAACATATAAGGAAAAAGATATTCAAATATCTTTGTTAAAAGCATCAATAACAAATTTCCAGGCTCTGAGAAAAGGACTCATGTAGGCAAACTTCTGTTTCTGAGCTATCACCTCTGGTGAAAGATGCAGAACTGATAAATAAAAACATGTTACTGGGGAATGATTATTTTCATCACAAAACTGACAGCTCAAATCAAGGAACTGAACTGTGGTTACTTTCTCCCCTTAATTTTGAAGGAGGCATAGGACAACTAAGCACAGGTTCTACACTGTAGATAGAGAATTAGGAGCACTGAGTACAACCACAACAGACAAGTAAGATTTCCCCTAACATTGCTGTCCATTGTGATGTAAACTTTCTTCAAACTACAGTAAAATATGGTTGGTGTACATGTTTGGATAGAGGCCTGAAAAGATTGCTTCATGGTCTCTTTTCTCTTCCTGTCCCAGCTCTCTGGGAGGAGTATCTGTGCCAAAGAAAGGTGCTGTTCTTTGAGAATTCCACTGCATGAGAGGAACAGCATTGCACAGTCCAGGCCGTGCTGTGCATGAGTAAGAGGCCATACCATTAAGCTGAGGCATTTTGATGAAATTCTGTTAAATGGCAACTGGCTCTGAAACCCTGTTGTTTAATAGGAACATCCATCCTAATTTAAAAATCTTTTTGTCGAGACGGAAAGTGAGTGTGACAGAAAAAAGAGGACGAGCTCCAAATTTCTGGTCCTTCAGTGACTTAAAGACATTACTGCTCTCACAGGGCTGTTTCTTCTGAAAGTTGCCACACACACACACAGGATGTAGAGCAGGGTATTAGAGAGATTATTAAACCCACCTCAGGGGCAGTTTAAACTAATGTGAACTAAGGTCTGTGCATCCTGGTCTGCAGGGACCTCAGCAGGGCAGGCATCTGTCAGGTGATGCCATTTTATAAACTGTTGCAGCTAAATCAGCTCATCTTTCACTGCTCAGTAAGCTGAGAAATGTCAAGAAATGTCTTCCTTTGGGATGGTTTAAAGATTGCAAACCCTTCACACTCGCTATTTTAATTGCATCTTCTGTTCATTTATTCAGGTGATCCCCTATTTCCTGGGTTACAGCCTGAGACAGGGATCCAGGCTACAATACTAACAAATCAAGTTCGGTCACAAATATTTCACATGCTGTTCTAAGGGAAAACACTATTGTAAAAGTAGCACTCAGGAAAAACAGTGGCTATGACCCATTAAACAGCTACAGCTCAGCTTTCCAGGTTTTTTGAATCAGGAGGACAGATATTTGTTTGCTTTTGGTCAAAACAAAACTCCTATTAAAACAAAAAAATCATTCTGAAGCTGACAATCCCATCTTGCACAAAGCCTGATGGCTGCCCTGGTCTTATAACATCCTTATAAAAGTACATGTTGGTTTCCTTTGTAAAAATTCTCATGACCTTTTGAATTAAATCTTTTGGTCTACTGTTATTTTAATCCCATTATTCTGTAGGTAGACAGATTTTCCTGTGCTGGTTGTAAAATGCATCTGCACTGATTTCCTAG